TATACACACACAGATACATATTTATATGACAATAAACATGACACAAGCACATTTATTTTTTACATTATATTTATTATGACCATGACAATTAAGCACATTGTAATGTAATGCATACAAAAATGTTCTTTCTTGTGTCATGAAAATAAGAACTTTTTTTTTTAAAATTAAAACCATAAATTAAAATCATAATTGTCCATTTAAAATTTACAAATTGTAAATATACATTAGGATTTTAATTAGATTTTTGCACATTTTTCTTTTTAAAATTAAAACTTTTTCCTACTGTAATACTACTGAAAAACAAAATCAAATAAAATCAAATCAAAATTATATATAAAATATAATATCTAACTTCTTTAATACAGTTTTCATTTTTGCATGATGAGCTTATTTTCATGACACTTACGCACATTTAAAATCCCCTTCCCAGTAGCCCACTAATGCAAAAATATTCTTACTCCTGTTTGTTTGTTTTTCTATTTAAAAAATAGTGAATATTGTTCAAGTCCTGCAGCAGCTTGAAAACATCTCCTGCCAGATAACACACGGCGCAGCCGCTCTCGGCCCTGAAACCAATCTAAACCTCGTTTAGTTCATTAGTATTAACTCAAGAACTCATCTGATTAGTTGAGAATGTGCCTGCAGGGTTAATGAATGGAAGCAAAACATCCCCCGTTTCCTACCAATGACATTACAGCACTAATCTAATAATATAAACCAATAAATGACAATTATATATATATATAGCATTGTTACATTGTTTGCATGACACGTGACATTTAAAATGCAATTAATCCCATTTTTTCAATATTTCCCACTGTAGTGTGAAAAATATTCTTACTTCTATAAAGCAACAACAATAATAATAATTAAATATTATTAAATACACACACACACACACACATAATATTAAATACTTTTTAAAAAATATTATATTTTGATACTATTTTTTTAATAAAAAACTATTTATTTGCAAAAACAATATTTGTAATTTTTGAAAAACTAAAATGACCAAAACTTAAATAAAATGAAAGCTAATCTGTCTGTCTGTCTGTCTGTAGCATTAGTATATGTAATAATCTATTAGTTTGTACAAATTGTCGAAAAATAGGCATTAGGCAAGGTGATTTTCTTTACATTTTGGCAATAAGAAATTGGCAGAAAATGTGCTTAATAGTCATGAAGACAATACAATAATGCAGAAAAACTTAATGGACTTAAAAATAAACCTAATTTTATTTATGGAAACCAAAATTCCTTCCTTTTCCCCTTAGACTCTTGTTATAAAATATTTCCAGGACATTTCGTCACCAGATTTGGCTTATGATGCATTAAAAGGTGCTCAAAAAGTGTGTAAGTTTGTAACTTATTGCACATTTTCAGGTGAGATGTCAGAGTCGGGCATTTTCTGCCTCTGAAAGTCAGCATGAGATGTCCTACATTTAAGCTGCGAGAGCATGAATATATGCATGTCTGGAGCTGCAGAAAGGCTCTGGAATACATCATCTGATATTGTGGACTGAGGAGTTACATCAGAGGAAAGCTGAAATCGCTCACAGCTCTCATCAGGACCATAAACCTGTTACCATGGCGACAGCGAGTCTGGTCTATAACAGGCGTCATGTGTTCGCTGACGGCCCTAAACCCTTTAACAAAACCACAGGAGCCGCACTAAATATCCTGCCAGCAGACAGACATCAGCAGTGATTGACAGACCACAGATCCCTCCAGACGTCCATCTCTCTGCCTCTTCCAGTGCTGAAGCTTGCACTCCACACAGTTACATTAAGAGCCATTCTGTTTTTTTTTTCTTTTATTATTCATTTTGTTCTTACAAACTGAGATAGAAGTCAGAATTATTGTTTGCAACAGTATTTCTGAGCATATAGAGCTGTTGACGTCAATTTGTAGGCCAAGCCGGAAGACTAATTGGCTACAGGATAGATTAGCGGATAACAGACTTTCATGTTTTGTTCTATAACATAAATTACACACGTCAAACATGATCTCTGAAGCCCTTTAAAAACATAAGTTGTGACATAAGAACTATCACATGGATGCGAGTTTAAAAGTCAGACAATCATATCAGTCAGCAACATGGTAGCAACTTATTTTACTTCATCAAAAATAAAAAAATGCTGCTCTAAAAATCATTTCCCCCCTGGCATTTTCAGAGGAAAACTACAAGAAGAAAATGCATAATGCATTGTGACATGTTCACATGCTCAAATGGTACAGAAAAATGTATATTAAAACTACACTTTAAACTATTTGGTTAGTTTTTGGTAACTGAAATGAAGCTTAAATGAAATTAAAGATAATAATAAAAATAAATATTAGATGTAAAACTTAAATTTAAAAACACTTAAATGAAAGTTAGAAAAAAAAAACTGAAATAAGTTTAGCAAAGTTGAAGTACTAAAATTTCTAAAACTAAAACAAAAATAAGCTAAAGAGAAAACTAAGACATATAAAATAAAATGAAATTTAAGCAAATTAAAATGAAAAATTTTGCCTTCACAACTTACTGAAATATGTTTAAGTTGAAGAACTAAAATCAGTAATACAATGTATAGAAATTAGTGCTGTCAAACGATTAATCGCGATTAATCACATCCAAAATGAAAGTTTTTGTTTGCATAATATGTGTTCTGTGTATATTTATTATGTATATATAAATACACACACATACAGTATATATTTTGAAAATGTTTACATGTATTTACATGTCTATATTTATATTCATATAATTTATATTTTAAAAAATATATTTAATATATAAACATAACATATTCTTCTGAAATAGCACACACATATGAAAACAAAAACTTTTATTTTGGAAACAATTAAACGTGATTAATCGTTTGATAGCACTAATAGAAATATAAAAATAAACACACAAAATAAAATATAAATATTACATGAAAAGCATAAAAAATAAAAAACAAACAAAAACAGAAATATTGAAACAAAATAAGTTGAAGCGCTAAAATGACTAAACAAAAAAAAAAAAAAAGATATAGGAATGTAAAAAAACAACTATAAAAATGACAAAGCACATAAAAATCACTAACATAGTGATTGGTGTCTCCTTTTGCTGCCTGTGTTGAGGATTCAAGTTCATGTACATTTTATTGACTTTTTCATTTAAATTGTAATGCTGACAATATCATTTAAAAAATGTATTAAACTGGAAAAATTTGGTCTCAGTCTTTTGAAACCATGAGTGCATGTTCTTGGATGTGTGTTGAGATGAAGATTTGACCCTGCATTACTGTTGTCTGTGTGGTGAAGTGATAATACGGTGATTTGATAGAGTTGACTCACGTGGCCGTGCAGGTCTGTGTTGAGCAGCATAAGAGCACAGGTCAGCGTGTGGACACCGTCTGTGAGATACAACCACACAAATACAGATTTACACTTGTACAGACTGTTTTATCATGTGACACACACACACACTGAGACAGAGCTGTACCTTCAGATAGCGTGAGAGATGAATTGCACTGCACATATCGACGGGAAAAGTGTGCTAAGATCCGCTCTCTCTCCTGCGTCTCACCTGTCAGAGCAAACTCTAGCAGAAATGCCCTGAAAAAAAAACACACAAACAGTAATAAACAAATGCCCTGACATTAACACACAATGATGAAAAAATATTATAAGCCAATGTCATGATAACAATTTATGCAAGTGAAAATTAAATATAAATGTAAAATGCTAAAATTGATATAGGTGTCAAGTATTTCTAAATTGACTTGACAACATTGAAATGAGAGATAGAGCTGTGTGTCATCAGCATAGCAATGGTAGGAGAAGCCATGTGCCTGTATGATGGGACCCAGTGATGTCGTGTATATGGAGAAGAGGAGGGGTCCAAGAACTGATCCCTGAGGAACCCCAGTGACCAGTTGTCTACTTGACAAATTATTATTATTTTTTTTTTAGTACTTTAGTATTACTAATATAAATATTACTACTAGTAAATTATTTCTTATTAATATTAATTATAAACAATTATAAACATAATAATTTATAGAAAAACAGAATCTAGAATATGAACACACACACATATACATACATAGTGTGTGTGTGGGCATGTATACACACATTTTTGTGTATATTTAAAGCAGAGGTGTGAAAAGTACTCAAAAATTCTATTCAAGTAAAAGTACAGATACTTAGTGAAAATTCTACTCAGGTAAAAGTAAATGTATCTGGTCAAAAACATACTTGAGTAAAAGTAAAAAAAATACAACTTCAAATTGTACTCAAGTATTAAAAAAGTAAAAGTAACCCCCCTAGTAGCATCACTTGTGATATTATAAAATATGTATGTTTAATGCACTGAAAAAATTGTTGTAGAAAAAAAAAACTACTTCGAAATTGCTAGTACAAAACAATCCCCCCCAAAAAAACATATGTAACATTGAATTAAATGTGACATTTTGAAGTAGAAAGACTAAAATGAAGTAATATTCTAAAGAATATACCGAATAATATACTGAGTATTTTCTTATAAAACATAAAACATTAGTTAAATAATAATTATTTTTGTTTGTAGTTAAACAAAAAGAAAAACATTTTTCATTGACATATTTAATGTGCTGACCTTAGTGCTTGGTCCAAAGTCATTTCAGTAAAATTGAAGTAGCGCAGATATTCCTCTGCCACCAGGCGACTGAAGTCATTGCTAAAAAGGAGTCAGATACGAAAAGACAGTCAAAGAGGATGACAATGCAAGAACAAACAAGGGAGACACGGGAGGAAGGGTGACAGACGCGACCAAGGCCTGTCAGAGATTCACCACTGGATGAACATTCCCATGATGCACCTGTCAGAGAGAGAAGAGCTCTTAAAGTACAGATGCTGTGAGCAATAAAAGCAGAGTCAGAGAATAAAAGCTGCATGAAATCCTGCTTTATATAACAGCGGCACAGAGACCGGCACAGGACTAACAGAGATGGTCAAACCACAAGGTCAGAGAGAAGATGCTCAAACTTAAATGTCAACATGAAATCAAAACTGACTGCATTTAATTTCTAACACGTTACTGTTTTTACTGTGAACAATACAGGAGCGCATGTTATTCCAAAAAAAGTATTATTGTGTTCAGAAACATGTAATGACTTGCTCCGCTTCTGACATAAAAAAATAAATAAAATTAAAACAAAAAATAAAAAAAATGCATGAATACAAAAGAAAAAAAAATTACAGCATAATGTATTGCTAAGATATGTGTTATTGTTATAGTTAACTGAAACGATTAAAAATCATTTTGTTAAATGCAATAAAGCTGAAATAACAACAATTTTAGATGAAAAACTTTACATTTTTTAAATTAAAACATCTTGATGAAAAACCTAAATGAACATTTGAAATGTTGCCTTGTCAACTGACTGAAATAAGTTTACGTACAAAAAATGACTAAAAATGAACTCAAAACATATTAAACCTAAATAGAAACACAAAAACAAAAAAAGCTAAAACAAAGAAAGCACATACCAAAATAACTCAAATGTAAACTTAAATGAAAAGAAAAACTGAAAAATTGTCTATGTACACACACACACACTCTATATAATTCACTCGCATATTAAAATTGTTAACATTAGTTAACTCCACTGGTTTACATGAACTAACAATAAAAAAATACTTCTACAGCATTTATTAATCTTAACATTTACTAATATATTTAAGATCAAAAGTTGTATCTGTTGACATTATTTAATGCACTGTGAACTATTATGAACATTAACATTTGTGACCCTGGACCACAAAACCAGTCATAAGGGTCAATTTTTCGAAATTGAGATTTATTCCAGCGACTTAAGACTGGTTTTGTGCTCCAGGGTCACATTTTTATTAACTAATATTAACAAACGTTAAAAAATGCTGTAAAAATATATTGCTAATGCATTAACTAATGTTAACAAATAAAACTATTGTAAAGTACCACATACATATACATATATATAAATATATACACATATATAAAGTAACAAGACTAGAAATACTAAATAACACTAAAATAACACGCTTGAAGAGGATTTACTCACTTTTTACTCAAATGACGTGCAACGTCGCACTTCCTGAAGCCGTCGAGGTTGAAGAGCCGCTTGGCCAGACGTTTGGCAGAGTCCAGATCAGCGAGGTTACCGTTACTGAGAGTGTCATTACTGCCCAAACCCAAACGCTCGCTCAGCTCCTGATCCAAATCTGGGTCCGCAGCAAAGCGAGGAGATTTCTCTCTGAACAAACACACAAATAACATCATTCTGCTGTGCTGAAGCCAATAATGACCTCTGAAAGCCGAGCTGGTGACGTGACGCTTCCACCACAATCAAATCCTGAACTACATTTTCTCAATGAAAATAATGTGGGGTGTTTTTTCATGGTAACTTTAAGTACCATGCAAATACATTGTATAAGCATGATAATCATTCATACCATAACACTCAGTACATTACAGAACCACTGCACCACTTTAGCTTTTTTAAAGGATGAAAACAGAAATAGACTAGGACGCACCATCTCATACAAGATGTACCTTGGCACTTTCCTATAAGAAGCACAAAAACCATTATAAGATAAGCTTACTAAAATATATGGTGAGTTCTGACACACCTCCATATTATAATTTTCCACATTTTCAATAATATAATCATAAAGTCATTACAAATTGAAGTATGGGAATTACATAGTGACCAAAAACAAATTGTTAAACAAATGTTCTTCAAACTACATTCAACTAAATGCCATGATAATGAAATATGATGTAACATTGATGTAACTGTAGTATCTGTGGGATTTTGGCATCGTGTTAACCAAGCTAAATTATAACCACAAACAGCTTTACAGTCAGAAATCATTTCCATTTTGTAGTTGTGTTAAATTGTTATTGCGCCCTATTGATCTGATTTCCTCTGGTTTCTATAAATGTACGTGGGACAGCAGTCCTCATCTAACCCCTTCTTATCAGTGACTCACACTAAATCCACACCAAAAACAAACCATGAGCAGAAATGTGTGAAACTCAAACAAAGATGTCTGGAAGCACAGAAACGCTTCTTAAAGAGACAAGCACGACAAATATTTACTCCATATCTGGGTTATTAGCGTTGACTGAAACTAAAACTAAAGCCATCAGTTTTTTTTTTTTTTTTTAATTACTTGAAATAAACCTTACATAATAAACATTAACAAATGAAAAAAAAACAAAAACATTTAATTTCAGCTAGTTGCCAAGGCAAAATTTCTCAGAACTAAAATTAAATAAACTGAAATTTAGTTCAAACTATATACACGCATTTGAAAATAAAAATAAAATAGAAATGAAATAAAAATGACAAAAACAAATAAAAAAAAAGAAAATCAAATCTAATTCAAGATATCGACAAAAACCATAATAGTAATAATAGCAACTAAAATAACACCGTCCCATATTTCTGGAAGGAAATGGGAACAATTTAGAAGAAATAGCTTTGTAAGGCCCAAAGAGAAAAAAAAATGCATTAATAAAAACAACTTAACTGTAACCATTTGAACATTTTATTACGATTCTCAAAAGTGAGTGTTGTTTGCCCATTGTAGGTGTTCTGGGTTGTTTCTAGTTTTACAATACCAAATAATGAGCAATAACAACAGTTATGCTTGTCTCTTCTGCAGCTATATTACATTCATTAGGACATTGACAAATTAATACAGCAATACAGTGCTGATCTGCATCCTGTCCAAACAGTTTCTACCTGTACGGTGTGTGACAGCGGGTCAGGACGCTCCTCTCTTTCAGTGCAGAGCAATGCCAGCAAAACACTGAGTGGGCTTTTTTCCTCAGACCATCTCTGCCAAAACGCCTCTGTGATGTGACTCTCTGAGCCATGTTTGAATTAATGCTCAACTTTTCGCAGTTCACCTGAGCCGTTTGTCCAGCGACTGCGCTCTCAGTATCTCCTCAGGTGTTTGAGGACATCTCTATGAGACCAATGCTGCTGTTTGAATCTCTTTGTGACTGAATTAATCTGTTTTTAGTCATTAAATCTCTCTCTCTTCCAAAGATCCTGAAATTTCAATCCATCCTGGAGCTGTTAAGCTTCCAATCCTGCCAGATACTTCCTTCCCAATGAGTTTCCCACTGCTTGCTTTCTCTCTCTTTGTGAATGTTGTTGACGCTCTAATGACCTTCTCAGTTCAGTGTGGCATGTAACATCTCTCAATGTCTCCCTGAACTGTCTCCTCAGTTCACACGCACTTTAAAATGTACAAACCACTTGTTTTCTCTCCCATGATTCTCTATAATAGTGATAAAGTAATTAATGAGTCATTTGATCACGTACACACACGGTTAACGAATACATACACTCCTTTTTCTCTGTACACACAGTTTAGTTATTTATCAGTGTGACAGCCACATTCTACAACTAAAATCACTTAAAGGTATTTACTTCTGCATTTACAGTAAGTGTGGCTGTCAGTCCTAAAACTTTGCAGTACCATTTTGCGGTAAACATCCAATGAGTCAGTAGAAATGACTTGATAGAAAACAAAACGCATCACAGCTTTCACAAAAATATGAAGCAGCACAACTGTTTTCAATATTGATAACTAGAAATGTTTCTTGAGCAGCAAATCAGCATATCAGAATGATTTCTGAAGGATCATGTGACACTGAAGACTGGAGTAATGATGCTGAAAACTCAGCTTTGATCACAGAAATAAATTAAGTTTTAACAGATATTCACATAGAGAACAGTTAAAAATCTAAAATCTAAATTTGACTTTTTTTTACTGTATTTTTGATCAAATATAATGCAGCATTGGTGAACATAAGAGACCTCTCTGAAAAACATTTTAAAAAAGCTTACCAATCCCAAACTTTTGAATGGTAGTGTATATTCACATACAATCCACTTGATGATTAACCTTATACTATTTTCTCTGTACTCTCACCTACGTAGGGGAAACACAGTCAAAACATAGAATGAAAGAGTGAAAGGGAGAAAAGTTGAGGTTGGGTTTTTCTGTGCCACTGGGCTTAACGTTTGGCTAAGCACCTCCACAATGCTGCTACTGTTCTTGCCATGCCGAATGAACAACACACACAATTGGCATAACAAATGAGCATTCATTATAAGACAACTAAGGATTTGATTGATTCATAGGTTGGCTGACCAGTGCAAATCCATTATGTTGTTTTTATTTTAGTACTTAAACTGGTGCACCTGATCCATAACCAACATAGGGATTTTCTATACAATACTTTCTGATGAAATGTGTGGTTTAATCAATACGGGTAATTGCAATAGTGATGCTTTTAATTCTAATATGCTTGATTCTACCTTTGCAAATAGCACTTATGAATACCTATCTCCACCTAGTGGTTTATTTTAGCCACTACAGGATGACAGTGTAATATTGCAGTGCAGTGCTGCACTGTGCCTCCAAACACATATAACATTTACAACACGTGCTAACTTTTTTTTATAAGACAAAAACAAAATACAGACATGGAACATATCATAATATTCATCCTATAAATATTTATGGAGCAACATTCCTCTGACTGTGAAAATATATCTAATAATTTCTCAAACTATTCCCAGCCTCCTGGGTTTCTCGGTCTCCATGGTGATCCATGCAGCAGTAACTTCTGTTCTCTGCCAGCAATCGGCTTTGCCTTTAGCCTGTCCTTCACACACACACACACACACACACAGACACACACGCGCACACAGACACACACGCACACACACGCACGCACACGCACACGCACACACACACCTCTGTCTAAACTCAGCCTGCAGTCAAGTCACAGGCACAGCAGATGGAAAAGGTTAAACCAACAGACTAATAGGTCATTCAGAATCATTATGCAGTAAATTAGCTACACTTGGATAAATAAAGGAAATATTGCTTAGAATCCACCTCAAGCAATTTACCCCTAGCCTGTCAAACCAAGTTGAAAATGGAATGTGCATATATTATATAATAAATAAAATACATAAAATATTAAAAATTATTTTATATTGATTACTTAGTTACCCTAAACCATTGTTAGGGGTAATATATCAGGTAACCTCCACATCAATCTCACAAAACGTTCTTATGATAATGGGGTGAAATATAACCTGAACATTTCTTGGCAGTTTTCTAAAAATTCACCAATACTCAAGTCATAGTAAACAAAAATGCAGTATGGTTTACTTCAAAAGAAATGGTTGCTTGAATACTCCCTCTGCTGGAAAAACTGAGCCATTGCAAAGAACATATTAGTAGGCCAGGTATACTCAGGACTTGTCCAAATAGCCACACTTGAGGTCTTGACCACTTGTCTACTTACATGACATAACATATATTATAAATGTTCAAGTGGTCACAAAGACAACAACTTTTCATCATCCAATGAGACACACTTATAGTGTTTTAAAAATGCAAGCATTTACAGAGCTTTGTTTTGATTTTCAATACTTTGCATTTTAAAATACACGTCTAAATGTCTGTTCAGTAGTCTGTAACAGACAACACAACTGAACAATTGTGGTGCTTGTAATTAAGTGATAAAAAGCTGTTGCAAATGTTGTACAAAATAAACATACTTATCTTTGCACAAATACAATGTGCAATACTTTCTGCTTTACTACCAAATTATATGTAATATCTAATTATTATTAATATGTAACTTACACTGGGAAGGTTTCCGCGACCTCTCTGCAAAAAGTTTCAAGATTTATTTCCAGAACACGATGCATGATGGGATAAACTTTGCCTCGCATACTGCTCCAGAGCGGTGTTCGAAATAGTGTGGATTTAGTGTGTGTTAAAGGGTTAGTTCACTAAGGGTTAGTTCATTGCAATTGCATATGCTGTTTATGTCCAGCGGATATTCTCCAAAATGGCACCAGGGTGATGCAGAGGAGACAAATTGTTGAATAAAGTCATTTTTTTTGCGCACAAAAAGTATTCTCGTAGCTTCATATAATTGCGGATGAACCACTGATGTCACATGGATTATTTTACAGATCTCCTTGCTACGTTTCTGGACTTGGGAACATTTCAGTAGCGTTGCTGTCTATGCAGGGTCAGACAGCGCTCAGATTCCATCAAAAAAATTTTAATTTGTGTTCCGAAGATGAACGAAGGTCTTACGGGTTTGAAACGACATGAGGGTGAGTAATTAATGTCAGAATTTTCATTTTTGGGTGAACTAACCCTTTAAGGGCACTGAGCTTTAGCATTTTTAAGCCCTGGGACAGTCTTGTGCACTTACTTCCTGTTGCATGCACGTGCTCTCAAGTGGCCAAAACCGCAAGTGTGAGTATTTGGACAAGCCCTTAGAATGGCATACTTCCATACTACACAGGTGACCTTTTACAACCAGAGCACACTACTAAGTTTTCCTACCCAAAAAATACAATTGCTCACTTTAGTGATGAAAATTACACAAACCTGGGCAGTGAAAGTGGTGGGTCACTCTGCCAGCTTTGTCCGTTGCGGTCGTCGGACCCGCTGCTGAGACGTTCGCTGGATGGCGCCCGTGTGGCATCCGTATCCCCTGTTATCGTCAGTGCAGACTCTGACAGGCTGGGCATCTCTACGTGTGCCAATGGCGCAAAGCTGAGCTCCACGATTTGCCGGGCGCTCTGGTAGATCTGACCCAGCACCTGTGGAGTCAGTGTGGGGAGGTCAAAGGTCAGGACAGTTTGAGTGCTAGAGGTCAGAGGGTCGAGACTGTCCAGACTGCTGTAGGAGGTGCCCTTGGCACGGTGTGACTCCATGATGTTCTCAAAATGCCGGCTGAACGTGTCCAAACTGTCTCCGGACCTTCTGCGAGGACCACGGACCAGGATGGGAGATTTTAGAGCTGGGTGGTTGTTACTGAAATGATCTTGAGGCCTAGAAAATGATAGACTTGTTATTTCTGATATTCTGAACCATAATGAATCGTTTAACAGTTTCTTAAAAAGATAAATGTGTGTTTGCCACGTCCCACCTCTTTAGCATCATGCTGTAAAACTCCTCTTCCTCATCTCGCTGATCAGCCAACAGCCTCCTCACATCGCCCTGCATCCTGACAGTGACCCAGCTCGCAACATCCTCCTCCTCCTCCTCCTCCCCATCCTCCTGTCCATCTGTTCTTTCATTCGGCATCTCTCCTAGAGGGCTGCTCCCAGCACAGGAAGTTCCCATGACACTTCGGTTACTTCCAAACGCTGAGTCAGCATCCTCTTGCTCTGCTAACAGCACCTCGTCTATGTCCGTCTCCCGGTAACATCGTAAAGGAACGGCGTCCAGATCGGTCTCGGAGTATTTCAAAGTTCGCCGAATTATGCCCGTTTTGGGGGAGGTGCCTGGGGTGGCAGGGGGCGGAGTCACTAGCTCCACCTCCACGTGTTGGACATCATGATTAGCTCTGAGAGCAAGCTCCTCCAATGGCAGATATGAGGGTGGCATTGGGGTGGAGTGGCCACTTGGTGGAGCTGTAGAGGATTCTGGAACATCTAGGTGGATAACAAAAATATTTATTCAGCTACGAACTTAATCAGTTTGGTTCAATGGATACTGACAATGTTTTGTTGATGACTGTATTTCAGCTCGGTGATATTGTAGTGTTATTCCACTTTCATATGAGAACACTCAAACACTTTCATACACTTGAAACCATCTAAACATATTTCTGCCTTAAAATAATCCTAGAAAACAGCACTTAATTGCTAATGACAGAATCTAAGTGATCATTAAAACTGATACTAAAGAGGTCAACGGGCTACTCACTCTTCTCTTGTTCGCTGGCAGTGTTTTCTGCTGGAGTGCCAAACAGAAACTCCCACTTGGCACGAGCAATTTTCTGACAGTGCAGAGATGGACCTGGCACTAAAGAACCGCCATCAGACTGCAACACCCACACAAAATAAACACATTAGCTTATAATAAACAGTGAACTCGATGTACTTGCAAACAAAGGGCCTCATTCATCAGAAGGAACTTGTTCAAACTGTTCTTAAAGCACTGTAATGAACATAGCTAGAATTCAAGCATTAACAGGGGCTCACCTGTATTCCTGATGATGGGTGATCTGATTGGTTGCTGTTCTGGCTGGACTCAGGTGAGATGCAATCTCTGTCTCCTAGGCTTCCCGTTACTCCACTAGAGCTCGGGGATGACCCAACCAAACCCTGGTGATCTCCAAACCCCTGTTCGTCCTCTCCTCTCTCCCCCTCTTCTAATACTACCAGCCCTAGAAGCAAAGCCTGTCTTCTCCTCCAGTCTGCCTGTCTCTGTTGCTGTGTTAGCCTGGTCATCTCCTCTATACTTTCCCCAGGGCTGTGGTTTGCTCCACATACCGAATTGCTCACATTCACCTCTCCTCGTTCTATGACCTCAACTCTAACGCTTTTTCTGTACACTGGACTGCTGCTCTTGAGATTACCTTCGAGTTTTTCTGACAAACTGAACTTCCCTTCATCTTTCTTTGCCTGCTCTTTCCACTGCTGTCTAGATGTCCAACTAACCGGAGAATCGTCCACACTCTGACCGATAAACAACCGCCTGGAGATCTCCACGCTTTCTGCGATGACATGGTCATCCCAGTCCTCCTCGTCCAGAAACCAGGGTTCCCCAGATGTCACCTCCTCTCCAGTGTACTGTGGAGGCTTGTGACGGTGTAAAGTGGGGCTGTCAGAGACTGGCAGGTCAGCTCTAAGCTGACGAGGATCTCGGATTGGAGAACACACGTCTGCTTTGGACAGATTTGTACGAAGAAGACGAGATGGGAGAGCTGGAGAATCTGGGACAGAGCAGAATGAGTGATTGGCCAGGTCATCTCTTAAATCCAAGCTCTTAGTAGCTGGTGCTTCATGCAGGTGCGGAGGAACCCCATTTGTCGTAGAACAGTCTTCATGCACAGGTATGTTCATCTTGACAGCCGAATGCTGCACTGGACTCTGCTGTAAGGACTGGATTTCTCTAGAAGGATACCCATAGTTTGTGCTGCTTAGATTAGACGAACGCCCAAAAACAACGGGAGGAGGAGAACTTCGGACCTCGTTGAAAATTGTTGACACCTTGGTGGCCTCTTCTGCAATCTTGCGGGCTATCTCAGGGCTGTTCAGAGCTGAGGAGTTATTGCTTCCACTCAGCTGGTTCAAACCACGAGTGGGTGTGTTTGTGAGGCTGGTCCTTTGCCCTGACAGAGGCCCGTCTTCAGCCCGGCTTCCCCAACTTTGACTGACTGGAGCGGAGCAGTCTTGCTTTGAACGGAGATTCTGCATGGGGCATCCTTGGGACCTGGAGGTGGATTTCTGCTGGTTGTTGTGGGATGAGAAAGCATCTGATGCTGGGCTTTTGGGGACACCACATGCAGCTCCTACCCTGCCTGGGTCAGGATCATGGCGGTAGGCACTGCAGTTTGGCACTGGTGGGCCTGCCCAAGACTGGCATCGTTCTCTATGGCGTTGATGAAACTCCGGACTCCAGTCTGAGCAATGAGAAAACTTGCACCTCAATTGGGGAGACCCAAATTCCTTAAGGGCTCGCTGTGTTGCAGCTTGACCGATAGGATCCAAAGTAGAACCCATACGCTGGTGAAATTGACTATTATTGCAGGTAGATTCCGCGGGTTGTGACCACACTGGGTCACTACACCTCTTACGTGGGCAAGCCGCAACCTCCTTTATTCCACCCGGACTATTACACAGACTCTCTACGGTTTTTACATGGGCCTTCTCAATGTAGCTGAAAGTGACCACAGACCTCTGTCCCTGCACTGGTTTAGAGTTCTTGTGATGGCTGCATGCTCGACAAGGTGTCTCAGGACCAGATGTCCGTCCAGAGTTTGACGAGTGGGCATGTTTTAATAGTTTACTGTCAATGTTGTTATTGAGGCCAGAGGACACTTCTTGGAATGATTCCTGCTGGGGAATGCTACGTCTTTGAGGGGAATCCAGAGAATTGTGTGAAGGCTGCAGTCTGAAGCTAACATTTGGCTTGAATGTGCTGCTGGGTGGTGTGGGAAACCCAGATGCCGCCTGTGCTAATTTGGTCAAAGCTTCAACGGGACTGTCTTGCTCCACAGCCGTCTCACAGGAACTACCTTTTCCATCATGCTCTGGTGGGGATCTCACCTCCACATACAAATGAAGGACTTTCCCAGTTTGAGACATGGCGTCATAACAGTACAACACAAAGAGATACTGTGATGAAAACTGAAGAAGAGACAAACAGGGAGAGACAGGGATACTTTTTTCCGTTCTGGTCGGTTTGTGAATTCCTGTGACTTGTCTGCGAGTGTACTTTTAGTTCATGGAGATGCCGTTCTTCAGATACCCTCTCCTGCCAGACCAGCTACTACAGACGGAGATGGCATGGACCATTGCACCTAACACATGGAGAAAGGCAGACAATTAATAAATTGCAATTGTGCTACACATACATTTTGTGAAGTTTTTCCTTGCCACAGTCAGCCTTGGCTTTTTCAAGTTTTTAAAGCTTTAAACCTGATGTCATTAATGCATGTAAAGCTACTTTGAAACAACTTCAAAGTACGAACAAGAGTTATACGAACAAAAATTATTTAAAAAATTTACATCATGGTACATCATGGGTTGTGTCATTTCATGTTAACATTAATTGCTAAACAGGGCCTGTAAGGAGTAAGGACAACTAAAATTGCTCCAAGATCCAAAACTTGTGAACCAAAGCAACATGGCAGAGAAATAGAGCAAATTTCTCGGTCATGACATATCAGTAGAAGTCATCATGACATATCAGTAGAAATTAAATTACAGAGATGCAGCAACCTGATTATATCGGCAGCGGTCATCTGACTCTTTTTTTTTTCACTGATGACACACTCATTCGATCATTCACCCATCAATTTAACCAATGCGCTCCAATACTAAACAAACAGAGGGAATGTTCTCCAGCAGAGACTAAATACACCACTGAAAAGAGACTTCCAGACTGCATTTCATTGTCATACTTTTTTGAAATCTACTGAAGGTATTTTAGCTTTTTACAATATTTATTTTTAACAACGCCATTCTGTTCGAGAAATGCCAAATTGACCATCTGCATGAAGGGATGGGCTTATTTGCGTAGCAGAGAAATTAATCCCTAAAATCGTACATGGTTACACACACACATACAGATTTACGTCATGCGCTAAACCTCAGTGACTCATACAGTAAACTCCCATTCAGGCCTACAAATATTAGCAGCGTTTATATAGAACAGAATACTGATATGCCTTCCCCCAAAACATGTAAGGGACATTTCAAATAAGGGAATAAATCGACATGAATTGGGCATACAGCATATGCAGAATGCCATGATTGACCAATAAGAATCAAGTGCTCCATACATTTTCACACATGCACCAATACAAATAAGCAATGTGTATTATTTTACTTGGAAATATGATACTGCTCTAGAAAAGTGCTTCCTGCAGCCTCTGGGACGCCTGGTGATTGACTGAAGGATCTCTCATGTGGGTTGCACACACACATACACTAACATGCTCTTCTGAAAGTGCAGGTGCATGTCATTGACTTTGCTGCTGCAGCACAAGGATAAATGAAAGCTGCTCTCATGTCAACAATCAATCAGTGAGACCCTCTAAAACAGTGCATGCATGCACACAACCTTTTACTTTTCAAAATGAAAACCTCCACTGGCACCATTTACTCCCAGAAAGGCTCTTTACAGGGAAGCCGTAATGTAAGCCCACACAACCGAAAGTAATGTACTTCTGCTGGCTCGCATTAAAAGTACATGCCTGGTGTCTAGACCAGGTCAAGGTTTTGCTGGTTAGCATGCCCTAGTTAGCCCCTGCTGGTATATGCCGTAACAACACCATCTGGACCCAAAAATATCCTTCTCCATTGATAGCTATTAGAAATAACAACATTTATGCATTTAAGCTATACATACATTTTTTTTGTCAATATGATCCAGCTGAACTTGAACACTAATTTGCTACAGATTTACAATGCCTTGGATGACCTGTGCACATTCAAAAGTACTCAAAAGTCTGAAACTACATAAACTACATAAAATAAATAAATAAATAAATAAATAAATAAAAACTATGATATAAAATGATTCTCAAAACATTAATTACTACTTTTCATCTCACAATTCTGGATTTTTTCCTCACAACTGAAGTTGATATTTCACAATTTGGACTTTGTTTCTTGCAAATCTAAGAAAAATAAGTCAAAATTGCAAGAAACAGAATTGAGAGATACTGTATAAACTCAGAATTCTGACTTTTTTCTTTCAATTCCAAGTTTATGTCTCGCAATTCTAACTTTTTACCCTCTGAATTCCTCACAATACAGATTTTTGTTAGTTTGTTTGTTTCTGCAACGGAATAAAACACATGGCAACATTTTATCTCCCAATTTAGACTGTTTACTTTATATCTCGCGATTCTAACTGTATATCTCACAATTTCTACTTTTTTCTCATATTTGTCAAAAAGGGCAGAATTGTGTGATGAAAACTTTACCTTTTTTATTCTGTGGTGGAAACATCTACTAAACTGGCAACATATCAAAGCAAACTTTACATCTGAGTACACATTGTTGTAAAGAAGTTGTAAAGTTTATGCTTTGGGAAAAGGTGTTTATGCGTGCATTTGATTTGAGCGCACAGAACAGTCTTTTTGGAATGAGGAGTAAATAATGACCGATGCATTTTACTTTTTTTGGGTTAACTATTGCTTTAATTGTTTAAGCAATTTGCACATCTTCTTATCAAAATTTGATAATAAATCATTGACCTGATTAATATTCATGAGATAAGTGAGTCCATTGCAGCCTCACTCTTCAAAATGTGCATCTCTGTATCAAAACACACGTGTACAAGCAAAAACATACACACACACACACACACACACACACACACACAAGCCTTTGTCAATTCTTGCAGTATAACTCTGCTCTCAATATCATCCCTCTCTCCTTCACTCATTTTCTCCCTGGACTTTCTCTCTCCAAAAATACTCACTCATCCGTCTGCACTGCAGGAGAATTACAGGCCATCTCAGTTAATTCACTGAAAACCATCTGCGCCGTCGAGGCCATTTAAACAGACACCTTCACACCTTTATCACCAGCTCGCTTACTCTGTCCATTATAATCTTCCTCATTAAAGGCCTCGCTAAATATCACAGGCAGCTGCACTTTATTATTGTCCAAAATTCCCTGTGCAGTTTACTTGAAAGATATGAAAGGAAAATGCATGTTGAGAGGTTTCGTGAGATTCATTTTATGGGTTTTAATTACACCTGAGAGTGAGTTTTAGTTCACTATAACAACAGAACCACCTGTAACACAAACACTTTACATAACAGTCATAGAGGAAAAAATGAGACACTTCAAGAGCTGTAATGGCCCCTCTCGGGTATCGGCGGTCCCCTGGTGACTTCTGCATGTTTACAGGCAGAATCACAGTCTTATTAAACAGCGTCACAGAAACCATCTCTAATGTCAACAGGCACAGAGCCGGATCTGTGCTAATATTAGCCTCTGCATGACTATCTGACCGCAGTCCTGAGATTCTGCTTTAGAGGACGGCCAGCTGAACGCTTAAGACAACATGATATTAAAGTGGATACTATTTACTGTACTTTCTTGAAGACTCAAAATTGGACTTATGTGGCTTGTATATTACACTGGCGAAAACCGTGGCTCAGTAAACATTGGGACAATTGATCAATCAATTTGTAAAAATTCACCGGTATTTATAAACAATAGGCAGGACCATTATATTCTGATATTATGTTTATGCTGTTTAAGGTAGACCTGTAATATGAAATGTACATGTTCTGTTACAAATCCTTACAACAAATGAACACAGTCAACAGTAAATGCTCCGTGTTGTGCAATGGTTTATGAGATTTTTTTTGTGTGCGCCAAAAAAAAAAGGTTAATTAACTGATATTGTTACATTGTAAATGATTTAAAAGGCATTATTTAAATTTTTTGCATTTAAATTTAAATTGAAAACATTTTTTGAATCGTCGTCTAGCTCCTACAATACACACACCTATACTTGTCAACGCTGCCCCACGACTTTTATTAATAACAGTTTAAATACGGAATCACAACATTATATTTTCCAGCAACAAGAGGATAAAATCGCTGTTTTTGAAGTAAACTCTCTAAAATGAGAAATGCACAGACGCGCATACATGCAACTTTCATCTCTCTCTCTCAAACTTTAGCGATTTTTTGCAAACATTTCTTTGAGTAACATGACCGTAAATATGAACTCACGATTGAATGTAACATAAAACAAATGATTACTTTTCGTCAAAATCTTTATTAATGCCAAAACATGCTTACATTTGTGTCTTTTTGTTCTCTCGGGCAGCCATGTTGCCGCTGAAGCCGATTTACGCTGAGATAATTCATTCCCCTTCGTTTGAAGTGTGGTCCCGAAAAATCTTCGTTTGAAGGGCTATCTGGCCCTTACCCTTACCCCTACCCCTCCAACCAAAAGAGAATCGAGACACCCCTACCCCTTCACGTGAACGCACGAAACGGATGAGTAGGGGAAAGGGGAAGGGCTAAGGGGTAGAATTGGGATTGGGCTTTAAGACTATTGTCTTCATTCCAGGTAATGTGTAAATGTTTAGAGTGCTTACTACAATTATAATGTGCTTTATTGTTCTCAGTGGCATCTACGCTAATATTAGTCGGTTTCATTCTTATTCTGAGGTCACTGTAGCCACCCAGATCCAGACTGTATCCAGATCAGATGGTGGATCAGCACCTAGAAACGACCCCTACAGCCCTAAATGTCAGCACAGACCAGGACAACTAGATGAGCCCCAGAGACAGATCCCCTTCGAAGACCATGTCGCCTAGATGGCCATCGAACCAGACCAGTCCTCTGCACAATCTGACTTTGCTGCAGCCTTTTTCTATTTTCACTATTTTCCCGTTTAATACTGTAAAGCCGCTTTGACACAATCTGTATTGTAAAAAGCGCTATATAAATAACGATGACTTGACTCAGGTTCAGTAAATATTATGTATATATATGCTACTTCTAAATGTTAAACAGTATATACTATATAAATACTGTAACACCTAGTTCATTATTTTCTGACTTCTGCCTCAATTTAAAGATGTAATTGTGAACAGTAGTAATA